GCTTCTTCTTCACATTTCTTCCTATTCTTCCTCCATTACACAGTCATTCAATTGCAGCTGCATTTTTTCTCTTCAATTTCGTTCTTTTAGTGAGGCAATTAGGATAGAAATGGAGAAATATGAAGGAAAGATGGCTTTACTCAACCGAAAATGAAGTATGTTTTTCAGTTTTGCCCTTGAAAATATATCCATGTGAGAGAGATGTGCTATTTTCAGTCAGAGAAATGAGCAAATACGAGCATTAGGACCAAAATGAATCATAATTTAAATATTAGGGATAATTCTGGTTGATTTTAAATGTTAGGGATTAAAAAAGTTTTTTTTTGGCAAATGTTAGGAACCAATTTGGCAAATTTCCCTTTTAAGAATTAGCAACCAACCAAAAGGTACAGCGACTATATAATTTAAAAAAATTTCAATCCGATGCAGTTACTGATTTTCTGATTTTATTTTTGCTGGACTCTAGTTTCTTTAACGATAGCTTTCCTTCGTGCCTTGAATGTTGACAGAAGGTGTTATCAAATAAATTTTAAGTGGAAGAGGTCAAGCAATAGTAGATTGAGATTGAGTTTGATTTGTTTTCATGCTCGAACTTTGCTTTCAGAAGTGTATTGACGGCTGCATTCTACATTTAAATTTTTTCTTTTAATCTTAGAACAAGTGAAAACAGAGTTGTAAAAACTTGTAAGGTCTCATCCCTTGATTTTGTATTAGTACAAAAGAGTTGAAAAGAATTACTTATTCTTAATGCATTGCTTATAAACCTCGTAATATTAGGCATGTAACGAGGTCATGTGTTCTCATCAGCTGTAATTATTGAGAAATGAAAATTTTTTATTATATATGAGTTACGAGAAGAGTATTTGCCATTAAGCTAGTTGATTGTATATGTCGCTTTGTTTCTAATAATTTTTTTTTTTGTCTAGTAGGACAGGAGTAGGATTTAAAAAGTAGAGAGGGAGAAAGGAGATTTAAATTCAAGATTTCTAGGTCTTAAAACCTCACCTTTGGCTACTAAATCAAAGCTTCTCGTCATGCATGTCATAGTTGTGCTGCTCTTGTTTTATCTTCACAATGTTTTTCCAAAGATTTTTACATAGTACATTTTTCCTCAAACAATAAATCAAAAATTTTATTAACTCATCTAATAATCTTTAATCATCTAAAACATGCTTTTATTTACGTTTCAATGATGAGTTTTTAAAAACTATTGTTGTTTTGCCAAAAAAAAAAAAGGAATAAAAACCTAAAAACAACCATAAAATTGGATTGAAATTCTTTTACAGTGGCATCATTTTTTTTTAATTTATTATAATTCTTAATGAATGTACTAAATTGCATCTGCTACACTCATTAAGCATGAAACAAATGAAATAGTCAACAGAAGGATCCAACGAATCGTTAAAAGATCCAATGAACTAAATGGACTCAAAATAAGACTCAAACTAAAGTACAAATAAAAAGAAACAAATTGGAAACTGCTATTAACTAAAAGAGAGAAAATAATATGAAGAATGAGTGGTTGTTGCTATTGACAAGTGTGTATTATCTTTCTGATCGTGTTCTCAGTCTTTATACGAACAAATCAGTGAATTTGCCTCCAATTTTGAGATGAAAATTTTATCTCCTTATAAACTCCTTAACGATTCATCATTTTTTTCCCTTATGACAATAATTATCTTTTGGGCCTTTCGTTATAGGCCTAACAGTATGTACAGATAGGTCCTACTTGAACCATTTGGTTGAACCATCAACACTTTTATTTCGGAGTCGGGTTGAACTTCAAACATAGAGGAATCAAAAAGCCATTACAAATGGAAATGAATTGGTTTGTCTGGTTGAACCAGTGAATCATCGAATTGAAATGGTTCTTACTAAACTACCACCAGCCTTGCTACTTTTAAAAAGTTGAAGAGAGAGAGAGAGACAGAGAGAGAGACTAGAAATCTCTTGCAAAAGAAGAAGCACGGCACCTAGGAATACAAGACAATCAGGACTTGAGGTAAATATTTTTTCTATTAAATCATCATACTTATTTTAGGGTTTTAAAACTATCCCACATTTGAGCTATTAATTTTGTTTCAAGAATCGTTTCAAGTATACATCTGTTGATCATTTCATATCCTATATTAACACAAATTATTGTGCTTCACAGAATTAGAAGAAACTTGAAAGCTTATCACGCCTGTTAACATTGCAGCATTCATAATCAATGAGCAATGTAAGTTCCTCCACACTAGCTAATTAAAATCAGTGCTAAAGAAAAAAGAAAAACACGAAGCTAAAACCTAAGACTCTGTTTGGATGGGAGTGTTTTTCAAAAACTAATTTTTCAAATACAATAAAATTTTTTAAAAAATACTCTAAAAGGTAATCTAAAAATTAGTTTAAATTTTTAAAAATTTTTTACAAGTATTCCATGCGTACATTATTAAATATCGTGTTTTATTATAGTTAGTTCGTTTTCTGTTTTTTCTTTTCCATTTCGCCTCATGTGTGGTACAATTTAATTGTCGTCTTTGTTTTTGGATTAGTTGTGATTGTCAAAATTGATTTATTCAATCTAAATCACATTATGGCTCAAATTTTAAGTTATTTTCATTAAGGATGAACCAAAATATTCTGATTCTAACACACTAATGAACTTAAGTATTAATTCCCAATCCGGCTACTCTAATTAAAGCAACTCTTCCAAAAGCGAGATGGAATTTGCTCAGTGGATGATTCGTCTTGGAAAAGGGTCCTTCAAGCCATGTACTTTCTCTTACGTGGTTGAAATTTGGCTGGAGGAATGGATAGATTGGGCTTCCTCACGAGATATCTTGATTGGGAAATGACGTTCTGAGTAGCGGTGTTAACGTTGCATTTGTGACATTGGCTCAAATGCTTAATAGCTGAGTCCTCTCAAGTAAGACCATATCCTTTGATAGACACATGAAATGTGTATACAATAAAAGGAGGCGATCCATCATTCAAGATGCAATCAGAGAGCTGATGTTCATCTTCGACGGCCAATATTGCTTGGATGGGATTTTCCCAAATTGAAATGGTATAAACTTAATGCTGATAGGTCCACACTAGAAAACCCAGCGCTTTTGGGTTTTGGTACAAGTTTAGTGGTGGAACTATGGACTCTTTGGAAGGAACTTCAATTAGCTTGCAATTTGGGGATTAAGCATTTGGAGGTTGAATCAGACTCTAAAGTAAGGGTGCATTTAGTCTATCATGCCATTCTAATCTCGCAAGGAAAGTTTGAGATAAGTCAAGCCGAAATTGAGAATGCAAAATCCAATTCTTGTACTGATATTTTGGTTAAGATTGGTCTTAATTTGCGGCGATTTAATTATTAGAAGATAATTTGAAAATTTCTTGTAATTTTCAGATCTGTTCAAAAATTTTTCAGATCTATTGTCCTGTTATATTGTAGATCTATTCTAGTACACGTTTAACTTGCCATTAGAGCATCGATATAAATCAAATCGTACGAGATGATTTCTTGTAATTATCATCCGATGTGGCAGCTGCAACTCACAATTAACAATTAGCCTTCAGTTTCGACTGAAGCCTCCCACCAAAAAAAAAAAAAGAAGATTTGATCAATATTGCAAAGTGTATGATTAATTAAGCTTAAATCAAATGAAAAGTCAATGTTTTGTATAGAAGCAAGTACATTCAATCATTGGGGGAAAGGGGAGAGGAGGGATGGGTTAGGTTAGGTGATACGGGGGAGGGAGAGAATATAAGTGAGAGATATCAGGTTCAAAGCTTTCTACTTACACTAAAAGTAAATTAAAAAAAAAAAAAGAAGTACGTTTAGTCATTCACAAGATATTCAAAACTAGTTTCTCTTTAAGAAAAATGTAGATAACACTCTCTAATTAACAATAAAATAAAAGAATCACTGCATAGTGAAGTGTTAATTCTAGCAGTATTTAGTGTAAATTCCAGCAGTAATTAGTGTAAATTTTCAGAGTAAAAATTTAGGCATTCGTCAAAATACAAGTAACTTTTCAAAGGAAAAAAATGGGGGAAAAGTATGAGGAACCTGTGAAATCAAAGGCTTAGAGCCTTTAAAATTTCTTATCGTAATTAAACAATTTCAATTAAATGTATAATATTAAAATGACATTAGCATTTGGGAGCTGTTGGGTGATATCAAATTAACAATGCATAAAGCCTTTTTTTAAATTCCATGGTCCATCACCAGCATGGCTTCTTTGGGTCTAATTCCCAATCGTTGGAACTTGGCAGCTACTGGGTGATACTAAGTTATTAATTAATGCATAAAGCCTTTTTCAATAATATACATTTTGTTTCTTAAAAGTTCAGGGAGACTGTTGCATTATGAGTACAGTAATTAACTGTAAAAAAAAAAAAAAAAAAAAAAAAAGATGCCACATAACATACATCATATGGATTTTGGTAGACAGGCCTTTAACAGATCTAAGAGAAGGGAACCTAACTTATCCATCCTGACTTCCCATGTAGCAAGCTGCAGAAGGGCGGATGACTGGTCATAGACTTTAACAGGGTCATGTGGGTGCAACAGACCTACATTAGCTGGAATTGGATTCATTTCTATTGCCCCCTACCGTCATATGCAACTTCTCCTACTCGTCAATTACTGTTCTTGACTTTTCGTTCAATTGTTCTAATAGCTCTTTTGCAAATGCTCAAAGCTGAAGATATTACGTGCAGGTTTCAATTCGATCACCGGATCTCTTCCTGATGATATACATCAGGTGTCAACTCTGCAAGAGTTATTCCTACAATATCACTGAGGCCTCATTAATCCTCTCGAAAAACTTCTACCACAAATCCTTGCCATGTGATGGAAACTTGGTCGGTTCTCATGGTCCCAAAAAACTGAAGAAACTTTTGATTTTCAGGGAGATAATAATAAATGTAGATCGAAGACTATTAAGACTGAAGACAATGTCATAGAATTATTACTTTCAGGCCAAGATTACCATACATCTCCAAACTCTCAATTTCCTCCCTATACTAGTTTTTGTATCAAATCCATAAACTCTATTCGCTAGGCAGAGTTTATTTTTACACAGAATACATACTCTGCATCATATCATCTGCTGCTGATAGTACCTGCAAAAATCAAAAACATCATCCAAGTTCAACATATCTGGTTCACCTATTAATTTAACAAGAAAAGAAATGGACAAGAAGTTCACATGGCCTACATTGAGGATCAACATGTAGATATCAACCTGGAAAGAATGAGCATTGTTGGCCTACATTGAGGATCAACATGTAGACATTCTCTTGCTAGTTTGAGAATGGATATCAGATTCTTTTCAATTTCTTGATTGGGATACAGAAGTCTTTGGTCTAACAAGTCTTTTAGCTCTATCTCTTCAAGCTTTGAAGACAATAGATTAGCAATCAAGTCACCAGGATGCTTTCCTTTGATTACTTCCATTGCCAGGACCCCAAAGCTATAAACATCACACTTCTCGTTAACTTTCATTGTGTAGGCAAATTCTGCAAGAGAAAGTTGGAAAATGTTTTTTCATGTTACGTGATCATACTTGAATTTACTAGTTAACAAATTAATGACAGGAAAAGGGGAAAAAAAAACTTTTTTACCCGGTGCAACATATCCATATGTGCCTGCAAGAGAACTCCAGTTAGATGAGTCTCTTCTGAGAAACTTGGAAGTGCCAAAATCTGAAACATGAGCCTCACATTCTGGATCAAGCAAAATGTTGTTGCTTGATATGTCTCGGTGTACAATTGGTGGTGAACAATCATGATGCATGTAAGATAAAGCATGAGCGACGCCTTTGACGATATTCAACCTCTTTTGCCAGTCTAGTTCCTTAGCTTCTTCTTCTATGCTCAAGATATTGGCCAAGCTTCCTCTTTCGAGGTACTCATAAACCAAAACAGAATGCTGAGCATTTGAGCAGAAGCCAAAGAGTTTCACAATGTTTCGATGCTTGATTTCTGTCAAGGCCCTGATCTCATTCAAGAAACTTTTATCCTTTGCCACATTAGGTATGTTATGAAGTCTCTTTACAGCTACTACCTCGCCTGATGGAAGCTGTGCTTTGTAAACACTTCCACAACCTCCTTTCCCAATGCAATACGTTTCACTGAACTCTTCCGTAGACCTCACGATTTCCTTATACACTACTTTGCCATCATAAGCACATATGGCAAATAAACTGCCCTTCTTCACCTCCATATCTTCCACTCTCGAATTTCTTTTTCTCCGATCACACAATCTGAGAGCACCGAACAATACACCAAGAAGTATGATTGATCCCAGAAGAGGTAATACAATTATGAGAACAAATTCCTTCCTTTTATCCTTGACATGCTTTTTAATCAACCGGGAACTTTCACAGGCTTGTAACCCTGTAATATTGCCACACAAACCTTTATTTCCCTTTACTTCTTCTAAGGTTAGATTCACAAAGGCTCTACCACCCGGAATTGGACCCTCCAAATTATTAAAAGAAAGATTAATGTGCAATAAACCAGGCATTTCTGCCAATGCCTTTGGGATCAAACCAGAGAGGTTATTCTGGGAGAGATCCAATGTCCACAAACTCTGCAAATTTTGAAACTCAGATGGTATCTCTCCTGTGAGGAAATTTTGACTCAAATCCAGTTCAGAAAGTTGGGTTAACTCCCCAATCTGCAATGGAATCCTTTGACTTAAAATGTTGTTGCTCAGGTTCATGTGAAACAAGTGCTTCATATCACCCAAATTTTCAGGTAGAGCTCCACTCAAGGAGTTTGTGGACAGGTCTAGAAATTCCATTAACACTCCGAATTCCTGAGGTATACCACCAGCAAGTTGGTTGTGATGTAAATCTAGTTTTAGCATAGAAGCTAACTTCCCAACTGCCTTTGGTATCTCCCCTGATAAATAATTTGAAGAAAGATCAAGTGCATGTAGTTGAGTTAAATTTCCAATTTCTGGAGGTATACCACCTGTGATGTTGTTCTCTGCAACCAGTAGGGTTTTCAAAAGTTTGCATTTACCCCAGTTTCTAGAGAGTTCTCCATAGAATTCGTTGTTGCTGAGATCTATGAAATCCAGGAATGGATAGATTCCAAACATCTCTAACAAGTTTCCTTGGAAACGGTTACCGTCAAAACGGGCCCTAAGTAAGCTTGAGCAGTTTTTCAAACTTCTTGGGATTGGGCCTGTAAGCATGTTCCCGGATACTGTAATGTTTTGGAGCATTCCACTTTGACATAGTAGTTTTGGCAATGGACCAAAGAACTGATTATGATCCAATTCCAATACGACCAACTTATTCAGGTTTCCAAGCTCTTGTGGAATGGTACCAGAAAATTGGTTTTCTCGAAGAAACAGTATTCTTAAATTGCTGAAGTTTCCAATTGAAACAGGAATTGAACCTAAAAGTTGATTGGAAGAGAGATCTAAATTCACCAGCCTATTGAGGTTACCAAAAGTAGCTGGAATTGAACCGAAAAATTGATTGTTGTAGAGTTCAAGTGCTTCCAAGTTACTCAAGTTACCAATTGAACTAGGAATGGAACCGTTGAGTTGGTTCTCACCTAATTCCATATCGGTAAGAAATTTTAAATCACCAATTTCTTTGGAAATTGAACTCGAAAATTGATTTTCATAAAGATACAGTTCAATCAAATTGGTCAAATTGCCTATTGACTTTGGGATTGCATCGGTGAGATTATTTTGCTCCAGGTGAAGAAACTGAAGTGAGATCAGATTCCCCATCACCACGGGAATGGGACCTGAAAGTTGATTACTTGCAAAACCTAAATGAGTCAAGTTTCTCAAGTTGCAAATTTCAGGCGGGATTTTGCCTGACAGCTCATTAGCCCAGAAATCAAGATAAATGAGTTCCGACAGGTTACCTATTTGTTTTGGTATACTGCCAAAGATCTGGTTAAAGCTGAGATCAAGATATTCAAGATTTGGGAGGGATGAGAACGGGAAATCATAGAGGCTACCTTTAATACTCCAATCTGAGAGGTTCAACCTGTTGACACTTCCATCAATGCAGGAAATACCAGACCAAGTGCAAGGAAGTACGGAAGAATTCTTGGCATTGCCTGATTGAAGGTTCCATGAGGTTAGGAAGCTATTGTTCTGGTTCAAAAATCTGGCTTTCCATTTCAAAAGAGCAGCAGCCTCTTCAGCAGAAGCTGAAGCTCCACATTTGGGGTGAAAAGATGGGAAAACTATGACGACCAGATAGAATATGGTGATTATTTTGAAAGAACCCATGATTACTTTCAATTTCAATTCAAGTTGGCTAACCTTGTTAGTCTGTAGCACAAATGAAACTAGTATTTATCCTAATTGTACATGGAAGACTTCAGAGGTCCTCTTGCTTAGACTGAAGTTCGAATGGAATTTGACAATTTACCAAACACAAAATTTTATTTGAGTTTGGTTTCAATTTAAAATCAAAATTGGCCCTCCCTAGCCTTGTGTGCATCCAAATATTGCTCCACCTCCCCATGCCACCTACCCCACCCCATCATACTCATTGCCAAAACTTTCCTTTCTTCAATTGCCTCCTGTTCCCTTCTTGTCCTCCGTCAATATCTTCCAAACTTGTGTGATTGACTAGGTTGTCATGACTTTGATCAATGGTAACCGCTTTTACAAGTTTTCGAAATTGATGGGAAACGTAGGACCAAAAGGAAAAGGATGATTGTTTTGAGAGAACCCATGATCAACTCAAGTTGGCTGACGTTGTTATCTGTACCACAAATGAGGCTACAATATATCCCTACAGTACAAGGAAGACTTCATAGGTTTTCTTGTTTTGTTCCTTCTCCTTTGTCTTTGCTTGTTGAGATTGGAACACTTAGGATGCAATGGTCCAAGAAATTTAAAGCAATATTGGAACGTCTAATGATTGAGGTTGACCGTTCTTATCTTCTATGACTTATTTTTCTTACTAAATCTATAGAAAAGGTAACTCAAGTACTTCTTGGAGAAGGAGTACTAATTACCTGATGTTTAAACCACAATCAGTAGGTTTAGATATTTATGTTGTAGTTCTATATTAGATCAGAAGTGAGATTAATTTTGGCCAGAATTAGGAGAAGCATTTGTTTAAATTCAAGAAATTTTGGACTAATTATATTGATGGATTCTAAAACTTTATTACCCTAACAAGTTCAATAATAAGATGACTTTCTCAACAGAAAAATACAAACATAAAATTGTGGGAATACATACAAGAAAGGTACTAATTTTGTTTCAAGAATCGATTCTAACATACAACTCTTGATCATTTTACATTCTGCATTAACACCAATCATTGTGCTTCACAGAATTAGAAGAAACTTGAAAACTTATCGCGCACTTTTAACATGCCAGCATTCATAATCAGTGAGCAATGTAAGTTCGTGCACACTGGCTAAATGAAAATGCATAATGTAAGATTCCGAAAAACACTTCCAAAACCTGACCGAGTCAGCCACTTGAGCTAGATAGATAGATTATGTTACATAGAGGGACTTTGTCACTAAGCTAGTTGGTTGTTTATTTGCAGAATCAAATTTAGATGAGTTTTTTCTAACCAAACTCAAATTGGGTTCAAGTAGAATAAATTTTTTTACATGTAAATTTCACTTGTGTACTAATAGAGCTAAGTTTAAGTTGTGTTTGACAATTACAGAACACAAAATGCTGTTTAAGTTTAGTTTGAATAGTTGGCAAAATCAAGTTCAAACGAGTTTTTGCCGAGCCAATCTTAATTCGAATATCAAGTAATTTAATTCATTTTTTAACCTTTATTGGAGTATTAGTTCTTTCAAGTGGATCCTTTCGATTCGAATATCACGTAATTTATTTTTATCACCTTGCAATATATTTAAAGTCAAACTTGGCACTAACAAGCCTTGTAAGTCCAATTTCTGGCCCCCACCCCCGCTCCACTCAATCCATCATATTCATTACCAACGCTTCTCCTTCTTCAATTCTCTTCTTTTTCCATCTCATACTCTATCAATATCTTTCAAATGTTTCATAATTGACTCGGTCATCATGACTTAATCAATGATTACTGCTTTTATAAGCCTTGAAAATAATGGGAAAAATAGGACCAAAAGAAATATGGAGATTATTTAGAGAGAACCCATGATTATCCCTACTGTACAAGGAAGACTTTAAATGTCTTCTTGCTCAGTCCCTTATCCTTCACTTCTTCATTGTCTTGGGCTTCTTGCCTTGCCTTGCCTTGCCTTATATTTCCTTTTCTTTCATTATAAAATTTATAGCTACTGTGGTTCAGAAAGACCGGAGTTCTGAGAGTGAATTTCATCAGGTTATCTACGGTCAATATAGGCCATTTTAAAGATGTTGGACCCACCAAGGCCGAAGTCATGCCAACCTTAGCAAAATGAAGTGAATTCTAAACCCACCAACGACAATCAATATTAAATATCTTGTTAAGGAAAATTGTCTTCTTCTGTTGATTTTAAAATATAATTCAGTCAAACGAGTATATTCACAATAACAAGTCGAGTCAATAATAAAATTAATTTGTCCCAAAAAAACTGATTGCCAAAATAAGTAGATTTGTATTTATAAGTCAAGTAAAAAAAAAATCAATCAAGAATACTAATTATAAACAAAACATAAATAGTACAGACAATAAGGTAAGTATTTATAGACAATTCTTACTTTTTAACTTGGCTTATGAATCTTCACAGGTTCTTCTTGTCACATTCAGCTCCTCTCTTCAGTGGATCCCCACTCCATTTTTTACAGTACCCATCACAATTAGATGTATGGCACGTGTTTTATTTATTAAAAAAGGATATAATCATTATTAAATTTGACTAATCCTAATTTAATCTTTACCGATAAATGAAATAGAGGTGTAATGTATTTATCTTATGCATTGTAAACAACGGAAAGGGGATCCACCAGAAAGAGCCAAATTCCCGGTTGTGGACCGGACCAAATCTTCTTGACTAAATCTTCACAGGTCCTATTGTTCATTAACTACACCACATTAAATATGATCCTCTGACTCATTCAGTGGAATATTTCCAAATCCTGAAATGGTTTTGAAAATTAGGAAGCTCGAGACATGATATCTCATGAACGTATTCATGCATTTAAATGGTAGGGTACAACATCTCACCGAAGAAGAAGCAGGGCATTGTAACCGTCCCTGTAACTCCAATAGATTGAGCCAGTTATAGGGCCAATCATGCAGCCCAAACTCAGCACAACTTTTGCAAGTTGACTCTTTTTTCAGCCATTCTTTCTAGCTTTTGTGTGAAGCATTGTAAGTTGATTCTTGGCTTGCTTCTCATGGACTGTGGCTTTGTTGAAGGATTAGATTGGGCGTCTTCGTGTGAATTTGGTGTATTAAGGGGATAATAGAGGGATAATTTTGTCCAATGGGGGATAAAGTGAGACAAAAAAATGGTTAGGGGGTAAAGTGAGAAATGTGGTATACTTTAAGGAGATTAATTATGATTAACCATTAATTAAATGATTGTGAGGCTTTGTTGAAGGCCTAGGTTGGGTTTCTTCATGTGAATTTGGTGTATTAATTGGGCGTCTTGATGTTCGACAGCCACTTTTGCTTGGATGGAATTTTGTAAACTTACTTCGGCAATTGAGTTTTGGTTTTGCAATTAATATTGGGCTTTGGATGAGCCTTCAACAAACGTGGGATTTAGGGATTAAGCATTTGAAGGTTGAGTCCAACTCCAAAGCAAGGGTCCATTTAGTCTCTTATTGAAAGTTTCGAGATTTCCTAAGCAGAAATTGAGAGGTTTCTTATGCTTCTAAAGTGAACAACTCTAGAAGTTGTACTTGTATTAGGCATTAGCTGGTCAGATGCCAAGTCCAGAAATGATAATCCAAGCTACGTAATTTTCCATTGTCAAATGTCTAATTTTTGCTTCCACGTACTGTTTCCACCACCAATAATTTAAAGGGTCGACATGAAATTTTGATCATGTAAAATTTGCAAGTGAAATAATAATTCAAAAAAAATAGAAGTGAATGCAGCAGAAGCAGCCGGACAATTACTCCTTTTAGTCTCCGGCAGGGGAGTAAAAATGCCACCATCCATCGTGGTCATGTGTGGAAGCTGGCTTGGGGAGACAGAAGAAAATAATTAGTAGGGTGGAAAGTCCCTGAAACAAGAGTGTACATAGTAGAGAGGATACTAGAATAAGTGGTAGTAATGAATGGGGTGGAGTCTACTTTCTTCTAGAGTTTGGGGTGGAAAGGGGAGGGGAAGTTTTGAAGGAAATCCAAATTTATGTGGTCCAGTTCTTGAGCGTCCTTGCTCTGAATTCTGATCCACCAAATGTAAGTGCACAGATGCAATTCTTCAGACCATACGGAAATTTCAGAAATCACAACCATATTTTGGCTCATTTTTGGTATCTCTTTTGGTATTAGTTTCACTGTTAGTTATATAAGTTGTGGTATATTATCAAGAAAGCATCCCCCAGGATCCGGCTGCAGATACATTTTTTTTCCAGCTCTAGTTTTCAACCACTATCTCAGGTGCAAAAAGGGGCATCCAAGACCAGCCTGGCTTTACATATTAATGGCTGTAAGACTCTTTGTTCTTGGGTTGATGTTTGCCTATTATATGGAGAAAATAGGTGGTAATGAATCTTTTTGTAAGAAATGAGATGAGGTGGTAACAGTTCTGATCACCACTTCAGAATGAGTAATTTCTTAGTGATTTTTCGTCAAGGGCATTGACATGTTTTTATAATAAGATCATTTTATTCAAGAATTTGATCATAAATGACATATGTACTAGTGTACAATATGGTTGTATCATATGATATTACTGGTCCTTTTAAACCTTTAACTTAAAATCATTAACCAGGGTGTGAAATTTAAAAGGAAAAAAAATTCAAACTGAGGAGAATGCAAAAAGAACCAACAAAATATGTATGTTTCATTTCCATGTGTGTTGCTTCAAAACCATTATTTGGTAATATCAATCAGTAAAATGCACTCATTTTAACTAGAACTTGTATCAGAGATTCAGTTTTACTCTTTTTGCCGTGTTTAACAACTTTGTCAATTTTGAAAATTTGGTAAATATAGCAATGCCATGTCTTGCTTTTCAATATTGTACTATATTTTATCTGGTCTTGACCTTTTCTTTACTGTCATCACATATATATAATCTGGTCTTTGGTCAACACGCTATACGAGTTTGAGGTGGTTAAGGCAGAAAACATACTTTAAATTCTTTCTTTTTTTTTTTTTCTGAAAAG